CGGCATTCCCGGCTGGCTGGGGGAGGAAGGGAGGGACGGGTGCTAGAGGGGGGGCAGGTTGTTGGCTTCCTTCAGTGAAGAGTCCTTTACTCTGAAACGTGCTTCCCCCAATTGTTTGCTGTAGTCCAACCTTGTTAAGTTTAAAGTGACACTTCAGATTTTTCTCTTCTACCGTGCTTTCTCTGTCTGGGGAGGTCTTGTTTGGTTGTTGATTCTGATGCACGTTTTGTGCGTCCGGAGCATCATCCAGCCAGAGTATGTAAATGATACCTACCATGGGTGTGATTTCTTTTTTTTTTTTTAAGTCTAAATTTTTGTTTCTCTTGCATGCAAAACGTCTTTCAATATCCCATCATCTCGGTGCCTACCTCTAGGAGCAGTGTTTTGAAGCTAATTGCTAAACCAGCAGGGGGAACACAAAACATTCTGTCTCTCGAGTATCTCTTCCAACTGTAGTTGCAGTTTGTTAGAACTTTGGGCCTATACTTTTGATAGTATTTCCTTAGAAGGTGAATGTCAATGTACTTGAAAAAAACACCGCAAAACTATGCACTGGAATAAAAACATTATTTTTGAATGCTTGTTTATTAGTTTGCTCTAGCAGGCATGTCTCCCACTCTTCTGAATGGAATTTTTGTCTTATTAGCCAGAACTGAACTTGAAAAAACTTGAGGGGTTTATTTAAGTGAAATATCTCTTTGAAGATGTTTGAGATGAATTAATCAAGCCCAAGACTTGGTATTTTGATTAATGCTATAAAGTTTTAGATGATGAGCTAGACAAAATATTTTCATAGTAAAACTCTGTTACTGTATCACATTTATTATTGTATATATAAGTATTGAAAGCTAAAGTTTAGTTGTGTAAAAGTCATATTCTCACAAGAAACTATTCCCAGTATTTAGGTTTTCCATAAGAGAAAATATTTTTAGATATGCTCTTAGGTTTAAGTCATTACTAGCGTGTTTTTGTAAAGCTCAGTTGACACTCCCAGCACAGATCAATAATGTATGTATTGGTGATACAATTGATTAAGTCTTTCATCTCAGGAATGTTGAATTGTTTGGCTCTTGCCAAAGAAGGTTGTCTGGGTTGCTTGCATTGATCCATGTTGCTCTCTAATCTGAGAAGCCTGATGCAGCCAATTAGCAAATACTTAAGGTATGGGTAAACAAACAGATTGAGATGGGAATGTGT